GGTCTATTACTATACCAAGAGTAGATAATAATAGAAGAGAGTGTTCTACTGTGATATAACCCCTGCTTCATCACGGCGTAGAATTGAAGAGTCACATTCAGGATATTTTCAGTATTTTTGAGTAGTTATTCAAAAATAACTAGCAATATAATAACTACTCAAATAAAAGACTGAAAATATCCTGAATGTGACTCTTCAATTCTATGCTGTGATGAAGCAGGGGGTATATCACAGTAGGACACTCTCTTCTATTATTATCCACTCTTGACTATACCAATACTACATATCATTAATTACCTGAATCCATCCATATCAGTACGACTATCACAGAAAGGAGTGTATCCATAAGGTGCTCCATCCAATGGCTCCTCCAACAATTCCTTCATATCAGTACGAACCACCTATTAATAACCATTAATAATTATAAGTAACTGTTAATAAGTAATTATAATTAATAATAACTTTTATAACTACATTGTATACTTGGTCAGCATCGACAAAAATTATTTTCTTAATATTTAATGGAAAAAGTACATCTAGAAATAATATTTTGTACCTATAATAATAATAATAATAATAATCATTAATTAATAATTATTATATACTCACGCCCAGGTTAATCTTTGTTTTTCAGTTTGTCCATGAAGCCAGCATGGCCACTTGTACTGTACCAGCTGATACTCAAACCCATACCTCTCAGCCATCCTGGGAATGAAATCCTGAGAATGAAACAATTAATGATAATAGTAATAATATTCAATTAATTATTGATGTAGATGTACAAACATTTATAATTATTTATAGCTTTCCTTACTTTGAATTGTGGTGAAAAATAATTTTTTAGGAACCAAAACTTGACTGGATTTTTAGTGTGTTTCAGAACGCTTAGCATCATAATCCTATTGGTATAAATGCACTTGCCGCGGGATATACGATCGGTTAAGATCAAAGATTATATATATTACAGCAAAGAACTACAGACAAAACGACAGACAAAATGACAGACAAAAGAGTACAGAGCACAAGCTCCTTTTATACAAAAATCAAAATTAAATCATTACATAAGTGTAATGATACTAAACATAGTAACAATAATAATTTAACACAAAATCTTAATTAGTTAACACATTAAGTACTAATCACTATTACTCAGCAGTCACTGTCTATCAGCTAGTGCCATACTCCCACAAATCCTACACAATACAAACACTAATAACACTCCACTAGTAATACACTCATACACATACAGTACATGTAACTCCAATATTAAACTTAGTTTAACAAATCTCTCACAACCAACCAATATGTGTATGTACATGTACATTTATTGCTTTATATTAACTTTTTCTATTAATACATGTAGCTCTCTCTCTGTCTCTCTCCCTCAAACTTTTTAAAAATCACTCACAAATATAGCATAATGTCTGTCTCATTAATCTTTAGTTTTCTCTACTTATCTCCACTCCTAACCTTAGGAATCTTTCATAAAGGTGTCCAGAAGCTATTGAGAATATATTAATAGTATCAGTGGTAGGGACTGTATCATTAGACCCAGTAATGATTGGAGCATCATCAGGTACAAAGAACCTGTACCACAATATTAATAAAATAAAAATACACACAAAACTAACTTTGAGATTGAGTCAATTATTCCACCATTTTGTTAAGGGGTGGAGCCAGTAGGTGTGGCTTGTTGGTTCTCAGTCTTGCTCAGTAGGAGACTGGCCTTTTCCATCCCTGGCTTCTTTGTCACTCGTACTATTAAGTGATTACCGGTAAAACTGGATACATTAACTGGTATTGAGGATACATTACCACCTGAACCAACTCTGGACTGATAGTAACTGAGAGATTATAAAGAGAGAAGAGAAAAGGAGAGAAAGGAACTTTACATAAGCAGCAATGTACATGTACATACATGTACATGTACACAGGGCAATAGAAATACTCTGTATAGCCAGAAAAATTGGCAAATTGGCGGTTCAAAATAAAACTGCCAATATTATAACTGTCAATAATAATTGTATATACATTTGTATATTGTATACAGGGCAATATAGGAATACTATTTATCCCTGTACTGTAGATCATAAAATTTCTGGTACAAGTATTACTATATACTACTATATTGTACAAACAGTTGTACCTTGATATTTGATATACTTCTGATGATCTTCCTTCTCTTAGTCTCAGCTTCCATGCTCCTGGCTTACCCTTTAGCTGGAAATAACCCTAACAATAACGAATAATATCAAAATTGAAATTTGAAAAGGAAAATTAGCCAAATTTTGTCAAAAATGAAAAGGTAAAAATTCTTCATTTTTATATTTTTATCTGATGCATATACATGTTCTTATGTTGTGTAGAAAGTTTGGGCTGATTCTGACAAAAATTAGATTTTTAACAAATATTTAAGTTTCTCCAAAATTGGGCCGGTCAATTGGGCCAGTCACACGGTCATTGGCCAAATTTTGTCAAAAATGAAAAACTGAAAATTCTAGAATTTTATACTTTTTTCTGATGCATATACATGTTTTTATGCTCAGTATCAAGTTTAAGCTGACTCTGATCAAATTTGGACTTTTTATGAATTTTTAAAGTTGCTTGAAAATCATACACTACAATATACCGCATATTGGGTATATTTCAATGCATTAATAATTTCGGAAAAAGCAATCCGTTGCGAAAATAAATATTATGAAATTTTAAAATATGCGGATAAAAAGGAATAGAAGATATGTGGTATTGTACAATTAATATGAACACGTGGCTTCATAACTATCCATGGCTTCATGGCTTCTAACTCGAAGGCCATAAAGAGCCTTCTTTGCCAGTTAGAAGTGTTGCTAAGGTTGATTCAGAAGTGGAGAAGCCAGCAAATGCTTCGATTTACTTATCAGGCCAGGTGGTTGATGGAAATAATAGCAAGTAAAATATTTTCGAAATATAAAAGGCTTCCGAATTATTCCATCATTGAACTTAATATTTCCACCACTTTCATGCATTGAAATATACCCGATGTACGGTAGTGTGTATAGTATAATGTACTTACAAGATTAGCCATTACTATTGTATCATATAGTTCAGGATCAGTATCAGTACCCATCACATACTGTAGACCAGGTATAGGAGAATCCATATGTGCATCAAAACACTGTCCTTAATAATAAATAAGAGATACAGTACATTACCTTTCATTAGTTACTGTACTATCACTATTAAACACTAGCCCATTGATATTATATCTAGATAAAATTTTTGGGAGACTAAACTAGCTAAAATGGTAGACTTCAGGACACATGGCAAAATATGAGTGACCAAAAGCTATAGGAGATTTCAGGAAATTGCAAATTTTTTTCAAACTTGGAGAATAAAATTTGCCCTAGACCTACGTTGTATAATAATGGTGGAATTGTCCTTTGCTGTTTCACTTTTCTTTCTATCTTCTTCCCTCCCTCCCTCCCCCTCTCCCTTCCTCCATCCCCTCTCTCTCCCTCTCCATCTCTCTCTCTCTCTCTCCTCCTTTACCTTCGACTAGTATACAGTACATGTATCAGTTACCATAGCAACACGTAACAATAATGATTAAATTATAATTATAAATGTTCTTTACTTTTCTCCACAATGCTTCTGCTGTTAATTTGTGTGTGTCTTAGTAATCCAGCTTTCTTCATCTGAGGATCAACTTAATAATATCACTAATGCATGAATAATGATAACCACTCCTAGCAATTAATAAAAATAAAAATAAAAATAAAAAAATAATAATATAATATCACGTAATTGTCATAATTGTCATTATTACTTCAAATGAAAAGGAGAGAATTCTTCACTTTTATAATTTTTTCCTGATACAAATACATGCTCTTACATTGTGTAGAAAGTTTGAGCTGATTCTGATCAAAATTACTGTATAGCTTGATATTTTCGTGGTTTGCTCCTAGTAGGGCAATTCGTGGTTTAAATTTCGTGGTTGATGGCACTTCAATGATTTCGTGGGTTTAAATTTCGTGGGCAGCCCCATAACCACAAAAACCACGAAATTTACATTCCACGAAAATTTCAAGCTATACAGTAGATTTTTTACAATTTTTAAATTTGACGAATAGTGCCTTTCGGGTACACACGGCACGAAGTACAAAAATTTTTTGACGGTTGTAAAATTTGGCATTTTATTTTGAATCATCAACTCATCAAAATAAAACCTTTGTCAAAAAATATAATAAACATTTACGATGATTTTAAAGCCATTCTTGGAAAAATCCAAATTTTGGGATTTTATTTAAAAATTACATGTACATGTACATACGTATATTTACTTTTGATTTTGGTCATACATGTAACTCAAAAATTTAATCAAAACCAGGTCAAACTTTTTAAGTAGCATAAGGATATAATAAAAGTTGGGGTGATTTTAAAGCCATTTTTCTGAAAAAAATGATTGGCTATTGCCTTGGGTATTTTTCAGAATCTCAATAATTTCTTAAAATGGCCGTAATTTGAAAAATTTAAGTCAAAATCAGCTCAAACTTTCTACACAGCATAAGGACATCAATATGTATCAAAAAATTTAATAAAAATTTGGGGTAATTTCACAGCCATGTTTTTGGAAAAAGCCTTAGGTATTTTTCGAAATACTGTAAATCTTCTAAAAATTCGGCAAATTAAATTCACCTTAAAATCAGTAATAATTATTGAAAAATTAGAGGTTAAAAATGTTCTTTTACTTTTAAATAATTTTTATTGACTAAATTGGAGGGAGGGTCATTCCAAAGTCTCAGCTGCTTGGTAAGGTAGACTGAAGCAAGTGGTCAATCATGAGCCGAAATGAGAGGATTATGTCGAAATTAGAATACTCAGCCAGTAATTTTGCATAATCAAATAATTACAGGTAATTTTGTGAAAATTTGGAAAAAATTATTTAATTTGACGAAGTTAGAGTGTTGAATTTTTAGAAGATTTACGGTAGTGGTAATTTCTTAAAATGGCCGTAACTTGAAAAATTGAAGTCGGAATCAGCTCAAACTTTCTACACAGCATAAGGACATCAATATGTATCAGAAAATGTAATAAAAATTTGAGTTGATTTCGGAGACTTTTTTTGGAAAAACAATGGGCTATAGTCTTGGGTATTTTTCAAAATCACGGCAATATCTTAAAATGGCCATAACTTGAAAAATTGAAGTCGGAATCAGCTCAAACTTTCTACACAGCATAAGGACATCAATATGTATCAGAAAATGTAAAAATTTGGTGTGATTTCAAAGCATTACATTACATTACTTACATTAAATACATGAGAGTCTTTTAAAGCTACAAGCTCCTATGAGAGAGAAAATGAAAGAAAGGATAGGAGGAGAGAGATGCATGTCCAGAAATGAGTGGACACGGAGTAGTATACTGAGCAATTATCTCCGTATACCACTGATTGACTTTATACAGGGCAGGAATGGACATTTCCATTTACTAGGCTATATCTTTCTTCAGAATAAGAATCATCAATTTGCTCACTTCAGTAGCTGTTCTTCATCCATCTACCTGTGTTCCTGCTAAATATTACAGCATTTGGAGTAACTTTGTGTGGAACATTTACCAATTGAAGATGAGGCAGTCAGTGCCGCCATCTTGTCATTCCTTTATGTATGTATGATAATTTTTTTACTTTTTGAATGGTTATATCTAAATTTCAAACAATTTTTGACAATTTGCTCACTTATTTTGTGAAAGTACAAAATTCTTACTACCCAATGATGCAAAAAAGATAAAGAAATTCAAAACTTTGTTTGGAACATTTGTCTCCTGAAGGTGAAGTAATTTTAGCCATTTCAATAATGATGGGTGCAGCAGCAAGAGTCAACAAGTCACAAGTGCTTTCCTCTTCTCTTAGGAATAATAAAGTGAAAGAAAGAGTGCTTAACATCTTATATATACAAGCAAATAGTGTCTCTAGACCTTTTTAAAGTAAGACGGCCGTTTGTTGAGAAGAGCCTGTTCTTTCACCACGCTTGCCACTTTAACAAAAGAATATGAGAAAACTACCATAACCAATTGCATTAAGTAGCATTCTAGAAGCCTCAAGTATCTAGTGAAGTCCCATCCATGTACCAGAAAGACGTTAGCAAGCTTTGTAGTGAAGCTTCCTATCAATCCACCATTGCGGAACTGCCGTTGCTATGGTAATTCCAATGAATATCATTAAATTAACGCGACCGGAAGTCCCATTGCAATTTCTGGACATGGAGAACAATAAAGTATAAATATACTACTAACTGATAATAGTTCACCATCAAATTTTGTCAACATGTTAAATAGATGAATAAATAAATAAATAAATATATAATAGGATTGTTATGCTAAATGCTCAATGGCACTGGTCACAAATTCATAATTATTCAGTAATTCCCAGTTTTACTAGAATTCATGTACTAGTATACATGTACAGGTACATTTAAACTACCTCATCTGTTATTTTGTTGTCATTAGCAACTCCATCATTTTCATCATCAACTTTCTCTCTTCCCTGTATACTTATATGAAAAGTCCATCATGATCCGTCTCAGGACCGTCTGTTGACTGTTCCAATTCCGCCCTATATTGAGGGTTAAAATAACAACAATTGCCCCGCCCAAAACCAGCACCTCCCTTTGATTCCTTTGCAAAGTTTGCATCCGGTTAGCTTGTTCTTTGATCAATGGCAACTAAAACCAGTTCTTGTTCCTCTTCTCTGAGTCTCTTCTCTTCTCCTTTGACTATTGGTAATGTTCCTTAACTATTTATGTATCATTGAATATGATTTTAGATCAACTTATTGATGTACTTAATCTGTTGAAGAGATGTGGTTTCCCTCAGACAAGATGGCATGAGCTGGGACTGACACTAGGACTACACAAGAACACACTGGACGCCATTGAAAGGAATCATCCTGGTGATGTATTTCGATGCTTGACGGAGTGTCTCTCCAAGTGGTTATCCAGAGCTGATAATGTTGACAGTAAAGGAGGAGCTACCTTTGACTCACTGTCAGATGCTCTTAAATTTATGAATGAGAATGCTGCAGCTGACAAGCTAAATCAAGAGGGTAAGTTAATATCCCTGATTGTATTAGTATTGACTCTGTGTGTGTATTCTATAGAACATAAAGCTAAGGCTATTGATATATTCAACACTCATCATCCACTCCTCTCTCAGTCTCTCTCTGATCCTCTCAGTGTAGCTATTATGTTTCAAAGAGAGGGTGTCATAACAGGACAAGTATTAGATACTGTTGTATCGGCTAGTCCCTCTGTTTCCGATCAATGTGAAGTCCTGTTAGCTGCCATTATAGTAGCTATTGAAAGCAAGTATAGTTTACTACAAACATTTGCTAGTGTGTTGTGCAAGTTCACTGGTAATGTAAAACTAGGAACAGTTATACAAAAAGACTATGGTGAGCTAGCGTAATTTACGCAATAAATTTTTGAAAATCTTTTTAGATAAAACATTTAATGATAATACACAGGTGATATCCGATGATGAAGGTATATCAATAGAATATTAGTAATCAGTTTTTTAATAATTTTTAGCTCAAGAATCTTCTGATTCCAATAAATCGACAACTACTAATGGTGAGTGGTAATATCAGTGGGTGTAATTATTAGTCACATTTATTTCTGCAGTTGCTCCTCTTTACATTCCACAATATAAAAGTCAAGATTTTGATGTGCTTTTTGCAAAATTTGCTAAAATGTTTTCTAATGTTCGCAAAGTTATTGTTAAATGTCCTCCTCGTTTAGAAGATCTTAAGATGTTCATTGAAGATTTTAACTCTGACCTTGAAGCAGAATTGAGTGTGATTAGTAATCTTCAAGGTATTATGCGTCTGATTAGAAAAAATTGCAGTCTCATTAATATTGTGATCCTTGAAGCTGTTGTTGAGCACTTTGAGATTGATGATGCTCAGAAATACATTGACGATTACAAGAGGGAAATTGATGAATCGTGTCGTAATTTATCAGTTGATCTGTGCTTGAATGAGCCGTTTGATGTAGTTAGGGCCAGTCCTCCTCTTAAATGTGAATCCATCTCTTATGTACTTGGATGGGAAGCTACTGAGCATAAACTAAAGGATGTTACAGATATCGTATCTAAATCTTCCGGTAAATTTGTGAAACTGGTTGACATCAAAAGCACTCAATCCATCACCATCACTTGCTCCTTCCCTCACTCTCTCACTGGAGCTCTCATTATAAAATTGAGTGAAAATCTTGAATTATTAATAAAAAATGGTCTAATGAAGCTTACTGTTGGATACTGCACAATATGGAAGAAACAGAAGATACAAGTATGTGTATATATACTGTCAGTAATTACCAATATATACTGTATTATAAAGGAAATACAGGAACCACTGGAAGAGGAAGTACAGGAGATAAAGGAACAACCTCATGATACAAAGGTATAATAATTTGTGTTTGACTATTAATTTTTATTAAACTAACTTAATAGGAAGAGAGAGTAGCAAGACTGGAGGAGAAAGAAACAGAAGGAGCAACACCTCAATCAGTAATTAATCAAGGTATAATAATACATTAATGTTGTTGACCAGTAT